CCGGGTCCTGGTGGTGGCCATCCCTCCAGCCCCTGCCTCCCCTCACGCGCTCTCTGCTCCTCCCCGTGCAGGTGCCAGGGCCGGCCCTGCCCACTCTAGGCCAGGACAACCTCATCTAGACCCTTTACTTAGCCACACCTGCAAAGACCCTCGTCCAGATGGGGTCACCAGTGGTGACGCGCCTGGTCATTTCTGCAGGCCTGATGTGATCACGTGACCCTCCTTTCTTCACCTCTTAATGTGGCGAATGACTTTGTTAAATGCAAATTCCTTGAGTTTTTAAAAAAATTTTATTTAGTTGTAGGTGAACACAGAGTGTCTTTAGTTATTTTCACGTGGTGCTGAGGATTGAACCCAGGGCCTCACCACTGAGCTACAGCCTCAGCCCCTCACTGAATTTTTGATGAATAGAAAATGACAGTTTTAAGTGCTTCGTATGTCCATTGTGAGGTCTTCCTGGCTGAGTGGCTTTAGGTCAGTCACTGAACCTCTCTGGGCCTCAGGTTGACTTGGGCTGCACCATGGATTTTGAAGGCCCCTGCAGCGTGGGTGGTGGTTGGTGGAGTGGAGCAGAGACTCGTGTTTCTGTGGCTTTGCCATGGGCCAGCCCAGCCTGAGTGCTCACACTTATTAAGTGTCTGTTGTTTGCTGGACCCAGTCAGGGTTATGAGGTGTGCATTGTGACCTGCACTTGGCAGAGCACAGAGACAGCTGGTGACAGCCTGTGGTCACCAAGTGACCTGAGGCTGCTTCCTATCAGCCCCGGGTGGCGGGGCTGGCATGGGCCACCCTGCCCAGCACAGTGGCCACATGTGGCACAGGCGTCTGAAGTGTCACAGGTCTGAGCTGGGAGAGGTACAAAGGAGGGGTACAAAGGCGCATGCAGCCTCTCACCTGTGACTCTATTGCATTTCAGGCTGCAGTGATACTTTGTATCTATTGGGCTAAACGTATTTTGAGGGGGGACACTGATTTTCCTTTTGTTTTGCTGTTTTCATGGGCTGGAAGAGCTTCGTTGGTGACGGGTGGCTCTGGTTGGTTTCTGGGCGCAGTGCCGCTCGGACCCGAGGCCAGGCCCGGCCTGTCTGCTTGTGGATAGTTTTGTTGGTGCCCGGCCACGCTGCTGTCCATGGCTGTCTGTGGCCCTGCTCTGACTACAACCGCACAGCTGAGAACCTGCGCTGGGGACTGCCACGAAGCCTGGAGGGTCTCCTCCTGGGCCTAGGGGACACTGCCGGCCCCGAGGCAGAGCCACGTCGGGGAGCCGGCTCCTGGTTGCGGCCACCTCTAGGGAGGGGTCGCCGGTGACTGACTTTCCTCCCTCGTGTCTCTGTCTTTTCCGACGTTTCAGAGATGAAAACTCACTTCTGACAACAGGGATGGAAAATCATGAATGCTTTTTAATCACAAATAACTCGTGAGCAGCAGAACAGAAAAGGGGCCATGGGGTCCCCGTCCCCGCTCCAGGAGCCTGGGAGGACCCGGCGGCCTCTTGCGAGGGCACAGACCCCGTGTGTGCTCTCGAGGGCTGCTCACAGCCATGGGGCGCAGAACTCGGGTCTGAGGAAGACAGAGGCAGCCCGAGGGGGCCGGGCCGGGTGGGGGTCCGGGAAGTGGGGCGCATCTGGTTTGTGTTAGGTTTATAAGGCC